CCCTCTCCAACTGTTCCCCCAGCCACCCAGCACAGCACACAGAAATTCAAAACCCACAAATATATTTTTTAAAAAAAACAGCAGAGTGGCCCAATGGTCACAGAAAACCATAAAAAAATTTTAAAAAGCCACACAAGCTTGTTCCCCCAGCCAGCCAGCACACAGAAATTCAAAACCCACAATTTTTTTTAAAAAAAACACAACATGGCCCAATGGTCACAGAAAACCATAAAAATTCAAAAAAACAAAAACAAACACACAAGCTCCCAGATCCTTGCAAACCCCTACTCAACTGTTCCCCCAGCCAGCCAGCACACAGAAATTCAAAACCCACAAAAATTTTTTTTAAAAAAACAACATGGCCCAATGGTCACAGAAAACCATAAAAATGCAGAAAAAACCACACAAGCTTCCAGATCCTTGCAAACCCCTCCTCAACTGTTCCCCCAGCCAGCCAGCACACAGAAATTCAAAACCCCAACAAATTTTTTAAAAAAAACAACATGGCCCAATGGTCACAGAAAACCATAAAAATGCCAGAAAAAACTCACACAAGCTTCCAGATTCTTGCACACCCTCCTCAACTGTTCCCCAGCCACCCAGCACACAGAAATTCAAAACCCAGAAATTTAAAAAACAACAACAACATGGCCCAGTGGCCACAAAAAATCAGAAAAATGCAGAAAAAAACCACACAAGCTCCCAGATTCTTGCAAACCTCTCCCCAACACCAAGTCCTTGAATTCTAAACACCCCAACCCAAAATCCAAAAACCCCCCAAAAAAATTTCAAAAGTTTAGCTTACCAAATGGCTGCAGAAGAAGTTTTGGAAAAGCTTCAAAAATTAAGCAAAGTCTTTAAAAAGCTCAAAAAGGCTACCACACCGTGTGCTATGTGTTACTCCTCGAAGTCAAGTCGCAACTGCACCTCTTCAAGCAATGCACCCTGGGTTTTAACGGTTTTAAGAAAAAGGAAACAAACTTGCAAGACGTTTTCGTCTTGCGAAGCAAGCCCATAGGGAAATTCGTCTTGCGAAGCAACTCGAAAACGGAAAACTCTTTCGTCTAGCGAGTTTTTCGTCTTGCGAGGCGTTCGTCTTGCGGGGCACCACTGTACTGGGAAAACCATAGCTTTTACTATATGGACCTTTGTTGGCAAGGTGATGTCTGCTTTTTAAGATGCTGTCTAGGTTTGTCATTGCTAGGTTTGTCATTGCTTTTCTCTCCAGAAGCAGGCGTCTTTTAATTTCATGACTGCTGTCACCATCTGTAGTTGGAGACTATTCGACTGTTAATTGAAGGTTTGGAAAGATGCTAATTTCTGCTGCGATGGGATTTTTAAAGAGCGGAGTAGACAGTTTCCATGTATTATTTCCTTCTCAAGGGTTTTTGTAACTACCCTCCTCTTAGCAATTGCAAGAGAAATTCCCTGCATCTCTCTTGAATCCTCCCTTTGTCCATGAGCTCAGAATCCACACACAGACCCCAAAGTGCCCTTTTAATCATGTTTACATTTTGTAGAAACAAAATGCAGATTTAGATGGTGTTCATGTTCTGTTTTAGACTGTGATTTAGGATTTGCCATCCTGTTTTAAGCAAAATCTGTGCCTATGTAACCCATATGGCTTAATTAGCACAAGAACTAGAATATTACAATTTAGCAGTCAGATAGTAAGAGAGTCCTTGACTTGGGACCAGGGGTGGCTGGAGTGATGCAGAACTGAGACTGTAAAAGACCTTTTAAAACTTTCTACCTTCTGGAAATCCTTTTGCTTAGTCTGCTTAGAAACCTGTGACAATTGTCACAAAACCTTTGTACATTGCAGCAGATTTGGGGAAAATCACTCTGGATCAGGATAGAACATTGGTTGTGGTTTATCAAGCCACCGTCAGCTGGTTTGAGGTGGAATGTAGGAAGAAAAATGGTAACTGGTTCACTGGTTCAGTGATTGGGCCCATCGCATACAATCTTTGGGGCCGTATGATGTGACATGCACTGCCCTGGTATTGGGCGGATTGCTCCTGCAGGACTTGGCAATGGAGATGCCTGCCCAAACTCTCAATAGATCTCATGATCTTGTAGGATGTGGGGAGGGAGAGAGCACAGGTGACTGGAAAACTGCCTAAGAAGGAGCAAGGGTAGCAAACATGTGCAGGGTGCCGAGCAAGTGCCCTTCCCTCCAGCTAGCACTTCAGTTGGGGTAGCAAGTTTGGCAACAAATGCAATAAAGCAAGGGTCCTCGCCCCACCTCTTCCTTGGCATCTGCTTTTTTCTGCTGTCATCCCTGCAGCTACTTTATGTATTTAGGACTCTGGCAGGCAGAAGTTTTGCCATTGCGCATTCTGAAGTCTTCATTGAAGCCTTGTCACTTTCAAACATGCAAATGAAGAGAGAAGTCTGTCGGTTGCTGATGACACAATAATCTTAGTTCTGTACCCAGAACCTTTTCTTTACTACTGTTTCTAGGAAGACTGAGCATTTGAGGTCTGTCTGAGATCAAAGGTCATCTATTCCACTAACAGAACTAACTACCTCCCCCTCCTCTCAGTCAATCAGGGCTTCTCTTGCATATGTGGTTTCAGGAGGAATAGCCAACAAACATCAAGAACAATATTATAATATAAATGTATCTCTCCGTTTTTCTATAGAGATAATGGAGGGGTGCATGATGTTATTCCTTTTTGTCCTAACAGGAACCCTGTGAGATAGTTACCGTATTTTTCACCCCATAGGACACACTTTTTCCCCTCCAAAAATGAAGGGGAAATGTATGTGTGTCCTATGGGGCGAATGCAGGCTTTCGCTGAAGCCTGGAGAGTGAGAGGGGTCGGTGCGCACCGATACCTCTAGCTCTCCAGGCTTCAGGAAGCTATCCGCAAGCCTTGCAAGCCCGGCGGGAGGTCCCGCCGGGCGCGCAAAGCTTGGGGCGGCATCCTGCAGCCCAAAGCACGGGGAGCCCTCCGGAGGGCTCCCCGTGCTTCCGGCGGGTGTCCGCAAGGCTTGGGGCTGCAGTCACGGCTGGGGGGGGGGGAATAATTTTTCCCGCCCAAAAAAATAACGAGGTGCGTCCTATGGGCCGGTGCGCCCTATAGGACGAAAAATACGGTACATTAACAGAGAGTTATTTTCCCAAACTGTTCAATAAGCTCATGATGAACAAAAGTTTGAATCCAAGTATTGAGTCCACAACCAATACCTTATTCACTGTAAAACGCTTGCTCTTACCACTTGATCCAAGGCTTAGGGTTTATGATAGTAACTTTAAAATTTACATCAATGATGGGCTAAGAATATGCCTTTGTCAAGATGGACTTTGAGCGATTCATAGCATTCAGTATTTTTTCATATGGCCATAAGACACTTTGGCCAGCAATAAATTGAAGATATTGCCCATCATTGCAATGGTGGATTATATAAAGGGGATATGCATTATATATAATGTTTGTTTATATATAAAGGGGATATGCATCGTGCTGCATATTTGTGGAGGCAGTGGAACTTTGAGGTTGGGCTGTTTCTCAGGTTTTATCCAGTTTCTTGTATATTTTGGTTGGATCAGATTTTTTAAGGTTAGACTTCATTGGAGGAGTCTATCCACAGACCTATTTGTCACCTGCAAGAAACTTGATGAAGAAGCAGGGGGTGAGGGAAGATCAATGTGATGCTACCAGAAGGGATAGCTCAGTCAGTAGATAATGAGACTGTTAATCTCAGGGTTGTAGGCTCAAGCTCAGTGTTGGGCAAAAGATTCCTGCATTGCAGGGGGTTGGACTAGATTACTTTTGTAGTCCCTTCCAACTCTACAGTTCTATGATTCTAAGTCAAAATGTTGTCATACTTCTCTCATTTAATTGCTAAGAGATTAAAGCTTTCAGTAAAATTAATATCACCTGTAAAACTTCATTCCTCGGTTTGGAACTCTAGCCTCTTTGCTTGATTCTTGTGCCTGAATCAGAAATTGTCATTGTCTTATGTTGAGTTTAGGTTTAGTAGATACAGGTCTTTGCTACTTCTAGTGAGAGAAGTTTGCATGTCAGATTGACATTTCTTATAGTTTGAAAGAGAATATAAATGAGAGGCCCTTAAACTTTGTTGTTCTGGACTGTTGGTCCTGAGTTGCTGGAAAATAATAAAGACTTGTGGGGTTTTTTGTTTTTGAAAGAAAGAAAGAGGAGGCTCTTCATTCCTTCTTCAGTCCCTGCTGCTTCCCGCTTCCCAGCTTTGCATGCAAAGAGCTTAGGTTCAATTTCTGGCATCTCTAGGTGGATTTAAGAATACACACACACACACACACACACACACACACAGGCTGGCACCCCTCTGGAGGCTTTACCTGGGGCAAAGAAACCTGGCTAGCCCCACCCCCCTAAGCTAAAGCAGCTTCCTGTGTTCCTATTTTGGGATTGATATTCCTTTACTTCAGTGGGTGTTGGGATGCTCGTATTTGCCCTTGCAGGGAGGCCAGTCCAGATTCGATCAGGATTTGTAGTATAGAGTTATTAAATTAAATAACTATTGTTTGTTTGCTGCATCTTTATGCTAACTTTTATCTTAGGAGCTCAAGGTAATATGCATAGAATTGGAGTTGGAAAGGACCACCAGGATCATTTAGTCCAACCCCCTGCAATGCAGGAATTTTTTGCCCAATGTGGGGCTTGAACCATAATTTCTCTCTCCCTGCTCATAACAGGCATGCCAGGGGGTTGGACCAGGTACCACATGCTCATAACAGGCATGCCAGGGGGTTGGACCAGGTACGTTAGTTTGAGATATGAAGGGTATAGTCCAGGGGTCAGCAAACCTTTTCAGCAGGGGGCCGGTCCACTGTCCCTCAGACCTTGTGGGGGCTGGACTATATTTTGAAAAAATAAATAAATGAATTCCTATGCCCCACAAATAACCCAGAGATGCATTTTAAATAAAAGCACACATTCTACTCATGTAAAAACACGCTGATTCCCAGGCCGTCCGCAGGCTAGATTTAGAAAGCGATTGGGCCGCATCCAGCCCCCGGGCCTTAGTTTGCCTACCCATGGTATAGTGTATATAGCTGAGTGGTGAACTGAAAATCTCACATTCTGTGCGTTACCCACAGAGGCTCTCCTAGAACCCCTCCCTTTTTTACAACTTTGACCAGGGAATGGAAGACGTTTCCTCCTTCCATCAAGACTGTTGCCGCATGATTGCAGTTCTAAAATCGATGTGTGTCCCTGTTTCTGTGACCGTGTTTTTAAAGCAGATTCATATGTATTCTTTTTGCCAAGGAGATAGCAACTGCTCTTTGGACTTTGTCAGCCTGTTAAGTGACTTCTGAAACAATGTCAGCTGTGTGCTGTAGTCAGGAGAGGGTTAAGAGGGCAGGGCTTTGGCTTGGCTTCTGCTGGTTTTCCTGAGGTGTTCTGGCACATTCCCCAGACCATCCCCTGGAGGTAAACATCAAGGTGCACTAGGTGAGATCATTCCTATGCAGAGTTCAGTCCTGGTTGCTCACAGCTTTGCACAACTTGTAGCTCACCCGACCCCAGTGGAATAAATGCTTCACCAGAGTTTCGAGACATGATTCAAAGGCTCAAGAAGGCTCTGAGAGAATTGCCTTTAATGGGGAACTGTGTGAGTGAATATAGTGGGTGAGTTCCTCTTCTTTCTTTTTTAATTTTCTTCCTTACTAGTTGTTGATTTACTTTGGCAGCATGTTTCTCAAAAGTATATGTAGAAAAATTTCACATATGTGGGGGGCTAGAAAGGAGCCTGTTCTGTACTTCACCAATCAATAAAATGTTTTTAGAGACACTATCCTGTAACAGGAATCCTTGTTTCAAAATAGCACAGCTATCAGAGGAAGGCTGTTTTGAAAGACTAGCTCTATCTATTGGTGAGTAAAAGGGGGGTGTTAAAAGGTTTGATAAACACTGTCTCCTCCATGCCTCTGTTCCCAAAGTGAATTTACAACTTCTCAGATTTGATTTTTGAATGTGTCCTAATATGTGGAAAATTACATAGACTAACCCTTTGCTGTATGCACTGTTTTACACTTAATATGTTGTGGTTTACACTGGTTTTCACATGTTAATAAAACAGACATCAGTAATGAAAGGCTCAGTAACATGACAAGTTTTTGGGGAAGACTTTTCTGTCTAGGTTTGCTAACTTTTGTGGATGATTTATGCCAGCATGTACAGGTGGTTTCAGTAATATGTAAACATTGGTTGCCCTAATTTGTTGATTGCTTATGAGCTGCATTTTGTACTTTGATCAACCACTTTTAGGCTGCAATTTTATGTTGACATTGACAACTCTCTAATGATAAAACCTTGCCTTCCTTCACATAGATACAGCATAAACCCTGTATACTTCCATGTCCTGTTTTGCACTGTTTTGGACAATAATTTAGAACCATTGGTATATATAGATTTTTAAATAAGATTGCAGCCTTTCTCTGATTGGAATAAATGATGTTATTGTTTTGCATGATTAGTTTAGTTTAATACATTGTGCTGAATACTACAGATATGCTAAGTGACAATGAGCCAGTGTGTTCAGTTTTCTTGACTGAGATCTGAAACTGCTTTATCTTTTCTCCTTGAGTGATAGGATGCATTTTATGGAGTTTTGAATGCTTACCTCTCTAGTGTTAAATACTGGGCCTAACCTTTTTTTTTATTTTAAACTGGTTAATGGTAGCAATATACAGTCATAACTCGGGATAAATGTGCTTCAAGTTAAGTATTTTTGGGTTGCGCTCTGCGGCAATCCAGAAGTAATGGAGCGTGTTACTTCCGGGTTTCGCCACGCGTGCATGTGCAGACGGTCAAAATGACATCATCCGCGGAAGTGGCGACACACGCAGGCGTGGCTTGTGTTCGCTTCAGGATGCGAACGGGGCTCCGGAACGGATCCCGTTCGCATCCCGAGGTACCACTGTATACTATTAAATACTATCTACCATTAATGTGGTAGTGAACATGGATACATCTTTGAATATTCAGGAGCTTTTAAGCTAGAAACTCTGAAAAAATCAAAACAGCTTTTTGCGGCACCGTGAGTCAGTTCAGTAAAACTGAGACTGCAGTCCTCTAAAGAATTTACATTGCTGGTGTCCATTTGGAACTTTTGCTTTTGTTTTAGTCAAGTGCCTGATGAACAAACTCTGGAAAATGGTTCCCCTCGGATTCCAAGATCTGCAATTGAAAATCAGGAAAGTTGCAGTAATGCGTCCCTTGTTCCACTGTCCCCTCCCGAAATACCACAAGGACAAGAGGAAAGGGAGGAAATGTCAGATTCTTCTGATGTGAGTGCCTGCAGCGCTACATATAGTAACTTAGGTAAGCACCTTGCATCAGCACAGAAATATATTGTTTCTTATTTCTTTATGTGTTGTCTGAGTTTTTCACATTCACTTGAAAAACTGGTTATGAGAATAAGCATTGGTTTAATGTTCTTATGGGAACAAACAGACCTTTATATGTGTTCAGAACTCATAAAAATAAATATTGTTGCTTAACTTTTTGTGCCTCCCAAACTTTTGAAGTAAAGATTTAATTTTTAAATGTTCTATGTACTCTTTGAGTTAAATTTTATTTGAAATCCATTTTAATGAAAACTCCAGCACCCCATGTGCAATGATCTCAGCAATAGTTATACCATAAAAAATGGAGATGACTTTAAGAACATGTTTGATAGCTGCTAAATGAGTATATGTAGAAGGAGATGTGAAAGGTTTAAGGAAGTTAATGCTACAATGCTATGGGGCTTCAAATGTTCAACTGAACATAGTTCTAACTGAAGATAACCTTTGCCTTCTATATACTGTATTCCAACTATGTTTTTATAATTACAGATTTTTATTTAGGTCTTCAAGGCAATGACTAACACCTAACAAATAATTGCAGTCTCTCTGTATATTCTCTGTTATAGTGATACTGGTTTAGGTTCTGAAGTTTCAGTCTTCCCACTAAAGAATTACTTCCTGTCCAGCCTTAAACTGAGATACTCATGCTCCTCTTCATTCTCTCAATGAAAATGTCTTGTGCATATGTATCTTTCTAAGTAAAAAAAATACAATGACTGTTTTCTATTGTCACATAGGGCAATCCAGAGCAGCTATGATACCTCCAAAGCAACCGCGGCAACCAAAGGGGGCTTTGGACGATGCCATTGCTTTTGGGGGAACATCTGACCCAGACATGACAGCTACCTTACATCCCACACCACCTCCATTGCCAAAGAAAACCATTATAAGAGCTCACACAGAACCACTTCCAAATGAACACCAGAATCAGGCCCTTGAAAGTGGCCTGTGTGTGATGGCCAATCCAACTTATGACATTGACACCAACTGGGACGCAAACAGTGCCTGCTCTTCTGTCAGCTCCGAATTCAAGGCAATGGACCATGAGTCTGGAGATTCCTTGGACAGGCCTCCAGAAAAGGGACTGGCAATCTCATCAGCAGCCAATGGTTTTTCCAATCTAACTGCTATCGGTGTGAAAGACAGGTGTTCCAGTAGTATGGAGTTTCTGTCAGGTAGACCTGCTACCCACAGCAAACATGGCAAGACTGTCCAGAAACCACAGAGACAAGCACTTTATAGAGGAATCGAAAACCGAGGGGAGGTGGTGAGCAGAATCAGAAGCCTTCACACTGATTCCCTGAAGAAACTGTCTGCCAAATGTGAAGACCTTTTCATGTCTGGGCAGAAAGATCAGCTTCGATTTGGGCTAGACAGCTGGTCAGACTTCAGATTAACCAGTGACAAGCCATGCTGTGAGGCTGGTGATGCTGTCTACTACCCAGCTTCTTATGCAAAAGATCCACTCAACAACTATGCAGTCAAGGTAAGAAGATAATTAAAAAGAGTCGCTCCACTAATCATATTCCAGAACTGTACTTAGTGTCCATTGCGCTTCATTACTATTGACTTTGTGCTTAGCGGTTACAAAGAAACATGTTCTTTTGTGAGAGCTAATGAATTTTTAATTAGTGAAATATTACATTTATGGCAGCATATAAAAATGCAATACAGTTAAAACAATAAACAACAATACCTACAACCTCAAAACAGTAATTTCATCCTGATCCTAAATAATTGTATTTTTATCTTGTGAACCACCCTGAGATCTCTGGATGGAGTGTTGTATATAAATCCAATAAATAAGTAATAAATAAATAATTGCGGCAGAATAACAGGATTTTATTATTAGCTTAGGGCCATATTTGGGTTTACATGCTTGTATATCCTGTTATAAACTTTTATTTGCTAGAGCAGCAATTTTTAGGATCATTCTTTAAGCCCTTTCTCATACATTCCATTCCATATGTTTCCAGGATGGTCCTGGGAAAATGCCCTCCAATGACCCTTCAGAAATGCATTGAGTAAACAAAACCTGAGGATGTTAGTGCCCTAAATTCCTTCTTTCTTTAAAGTGAATTTTTTGGCCTCCCTTTGTTTGTTTGTTTTACCCTTCTGACTTTTAAAACAAAAAAACTATTCTTGCCTATTTAGCATACTGCTGTTATAATGAGTTACTGTATATGAGGAGCTACACTTTTCCATTATTTATACAGAGGAGCAACTTAAATTATTTTGTTTCTATTTATTTTCAAAAGTGTACATTATTTTATTAAAGTTAAAGTGGTTTACAATGTAGAAATTAGGATAATACAATACATAATTTTACAGAAAAATATAATATTTTTAAAAATACATTACAGATTGCAATTGGATGCAGACTTTTTATGGCAAGGACTTACAGAACTATGATTTCACCACCTAAGGACCAAATTGCATTTGATATTAGTCAGGTATTTAAACAATTGTGCTTCTCCTGGTCACTTTTAATTTGAAGAAAAGTTAGCTGCAGGGTCCCAGTCTGAAATGTGCTCTCAGTTGGGATCCCTCACAGGTTTTCTGCTGAAAATCACTGCCTGCTTGGTTTTTGTTTCCCCTGATACTACTGTTTGCAGTAAACAACACTTTCAGGAATGAAAAGCAGCCAGGTGGGGACGGTTTTCAGTACAAAGCATGTGCAAGGCTCTAATCAGATACACATTCTGAAACAGTGCACTGTGGGAGAGAGTACCCAACATGACTGCTGCTGAGTACTTTCACATTAGCAGTTTTGGTTGCAGAAGGTCTGCAGGATGTGGCGACCAGCAGGAAGGGGAGGGGATGAGAGAAAGAGAAAGCGTTGCAGAATTACAGATGTTGAAGCTGGGAATTGGATCTGACATGTTGAAGAGTATTGTCCAAAATAATTATGCAGATCTCACCAATGGACAGTGCTTTTCAAAGGCACCCTTTGTTCTTTGAAAGATAACTGTCAAACAAAGTTGCAACCATGGTTTCAGTACTATGCCCAAGCTAAAATCTAGACTGACAGGAATTCAAAACCAAACCAAATTGAGAAATTGTACTCCTGCTCAACAGCCTTTGCCAGAAACAGAAGTTTAGAAACAAGGCATTAGCTGTGGAGTTTGTCTCCAGATTACAGTGTGAGCTAGATCTCTTGAAGTCATCTACCAAATGTTTGCCGGTGTACCAGGGGTGGGGTGGGGGTAAGATATCAGTATACCAAAGCCTAGTGCACCAAAATGCTCTGAACTGGGCAGCAGCCTAAGATGACCATTGGTGCCAAGGGAGATGCAAGGTCATATGACCCAATACAGTTTCTTATCTGTGGGCTCATCCACACTTCCATTTGTCCCGTGATTTCTAGGCATGGACTCAAGAGGTTTTTCTTTTGTATCACCGCTTTCCCCAGGAAAATCTGTAGTTTACTGTTGATTCAGAACAAGCACCAATCCACAGAAAACCCGATTTACCTTTGTTCTAATTCAGCAGTATACAGCAGGTTTTCCTGGGACCAAAGATGAACCTCTCGGACGCACGCCTAAAAGCATGGGACAAGCAGATGTGCAGTTGAGCCCCAAGTCTCTGTTCAAGCCAACCACCACCCTGTAAGGTTCAGCGGTTGCCAGTCATACAGAAAGGACTATACCATATAAATGTTCCATAATACTTGGTTCCATGCCAAGTGCTGTTTTACAAGATGTTAATTGGGTTTGTCATAAACTTTCTAAAGGGAATAAAATCTGTTTTACACAGACCTTTAGTTTAGCTCAAGTGTTAATTTTATTCTGTAGATTCTATTACATACAACTGTAATATAAAATCACATTCAATGTACTTGTATTGAAAACAGATATTTAAATTGTCCAATTCATTGAGGTCAAAAATTACCCAATCTTGCTGTGAACCCATAACACAGGGCTGCCTACTAGATTTAAAAATATTCACAAGTGGCAAAACATGTACAAAGGATCCCATTAAGATAAAGAAATTATGCCCTGTAGGCCGCATATTCAGCAGGTGCAGCCGTATTGAGTTATTTCTATGGCATGGAGCCCAGCTCAACTAATTGGAGGCATGGTTCTCATTTCATCTTGATAAGAACAAGTTTAATTGATTTCCTTGAGAAACTGATAGTGTGATTTTTATTTAACTTACCATGATTATTTTGTAGAAATAAAATGAACCATGGATTAGTTTTAAAACCATGCCTAAATATTACACATTGATGTCCTGTCAAAATACACCCAGACTTGTTCGGGAGTGTGCTATTTATTCTGATTAAGTACAATAACAAAGCTTTTCTCAGGTATGGCAGAAATAAAGCTCCACAGCATCTTACCCTCTTTTTGCTAAGTAGGTCAAGTTGTAGGGTGGTATAGATTAATTATAATTGCTCACATCCTAGCTCCTTTCAGCAACAAAAGCACAGGAATTACTGTAATACTTTGTAAGACAATGTGAAACTTTAAAATACAGTGGTACCTCATGTTACAGACGCTTCAGGTTACGCGTTTTCGGGTTGTGCACCTGGCTAAACCCGGAAGCATCGGAATGGGTTACTTCCAGGTTTCGGTGCTTGCACATGTGCAGAAGCGCTAAATCACGCTTTGTGCATGTGCAGAAGCTCCAAATTGCGACCTGCGTGTGTGCAGACACGGCGCTGTGGGTTGCAACGCTGCGGGTTGCAAACATGCCCCCTGCATGGATCATGTTTGCAACCCGAGGTTCCACTGTGGTACCTCTGGATACAAACACTTCTGGTTGCGCAAGTGTCAGGTTACAAGCTGTGCTAACCTGGAAGCAGTTGCTCCCGGATGCGAACTTTGCTTTGGGATGCAAGCAGAAATTACACGCCAGAGGCACGCATGCAGCGGGAGACGCACTTTCACTAATGGCGCCTCATGTTAAGAACAGCTTCAGGATAAGAACGGACCTCCAGAACGAATTAAGTTCATAACCAGAGGTACCACTGTACTCTCAAAGTCAGCATCCTTTTCTCATAAAGCTTCTGACTTGCATAATAAAATTTGTTGTTATAAAAAACCTACACTGCTGTGTTATACATAACACAGACCTGTGCTCACCCCATCATTATAATCTGCATCCTATAATGATGAGGGGGAGTTGGAACACAAAAGATAGGGGTGCTGTAAGATGTTTCCTTTATTACCCAGACAGTCCATCCTCTGACAACCCGTTCTCCACCTAGGCTTATCAATTATGATGACAGAAATTCCCTATGGATGTAAGAATAACTAAACAGTAGCTGTTTCAATTAATGGTGCCCTATTTTCAGATACAGAGAGAATATAGGCAACCAATTTTACCACTTCTGCACCTGCGCTTTGAAGGATTATATAGACAGTTAACTTCTGAATGAGAGATTTTACCCCAGGATAGTTTGCCTTGGCTCAAGAAGGAGCCAAACTGCATATCGTAGAATCATAGAATCTTGGAGTTGGAAGGGACCCTGGGGGTCATCTAATCCAACCCCTTCCAATGCAGGAATCTCAGCTAAAGCATCCATGACAGATGGCCAGCCAAACTCTGCTTAAAAACCTCCAAGGAAGGAGAGTCCACCACCTCTCATGGGTGTCCATCCCATTAAAATAAAAAGCAGGTTGCAGTATCAAAATCTCACTGATCTGAACCTGCAAATATTTGACTTTTTGTGTCCTTTGAGCTCAATTGTGTGTTTGCTTTGGAGCAGGAGCTAATATTTACTTATTTTTATTCAACAAGATTGACATACTGCTTAATAATAATAATAATAATAATAATAATAATAATAATAAATTTCTAAGCAGTGTGCATGTTCAATTTTTAAAAGCAATAAAAACAGTAAATATAATGGGCTGAATCCAACTAAGTTGTTACTCAGAGCTGAACCATGAATTTGCATCCAAGTTGAGCCATGCTTGGGGCAGACCCATTGAAATGAATGGATGCATGGCTTACTTTGAGTGGAACTTACTTGGCTACCACCCTGTTCATTTCAATGGTCTACTGTGAGTTTGAGTAACACTGGATACAATCCATTAAAATGATCAAAATATCAGATAAACAGACATCCTTTACTGCTTCTATAGTATTGGGTGTTTTCTCTCCTTCCAATAATGGAACACAACTACCGTATTTTTCGGACTATTGGACGCACCGGTCCATAGGACGCACCTAGATTTGGGGGGGGGGGAATAAAGGCAAAAAAAAATTATTCCCCCCCCCGCCAGGCGCGGGGCTGGGGCGGGGAAGCCCGAGCTTCCCCCTCCCCCAGAACGGGACCCAGAGCCATGCCGAAGCTGCGCGCAGCTTTGGCATCGCTCTGGGAGCTTGCGGGGCTGGGGGAGGAGGAAGCCCTCCGCCAGCCTCCAAACCATGTCGGGAGACAGCGGGATGGCGCGCTGCGCCTCTCCCGCTGTCCCCCGAGTTTGCAGGGCTGGGCCAGCCTTCTAACCAAGTCGGGGGACAGCGGGAAGGGCGCGCTGCGCCCCTGCCGCTGTCTCCCGAGTTTGCGGGGCTGGCGACGGGGAGGAGCAGGCTTCTCCCCCCGCCAGCCTTCTAGACAAGTCGGGGGACAGCGGGAAAGGCGCGCTGCGCCTCTCCCGCTGTCCCCCGAGTTTGCGGGGCTGGCGACGGGGAGGAGCAGGCTTCTCCCCCCGCCAGCCTTCTAGACAAGTCGGGGGACAGCGGGAAAGGCGCGCTGCGCCTCTCCCGCTGTCCCCCGAGCTTGTGGGGCTGGCGGTGGGGCTCTCCTGAAGCCTGGAGGTTGTGGGGCTGGTGGGGGGGAGAAGCAGGCTTGCTTCTCCCACCCCCAGCCTCCAGATCAGGTCGGGGAATAGCGGGATGGCGGAGCGCCGCCATCCCGCTATTCCCCGACCTGATCTGGAGGTTGTGGGGCTGGGGGGGGGGAGAAGCAGGCTTGCTTCTCCCACCCCCAGCCTCCAGATCAGGTCGGGGAATAGCGGGATGGCAGAGCACCGCCATCCCGCTATTTCCCGACCTGATCTGGAGGTTGTGGGGCTGGGGGGGGGGGAGAAGCAGGCTTGCTTCTCCAGCCCCCAGCCTCCAGTTCAGGTCGGGGAATAGCGGGATGGCGGAGCGCCGCCATCCCGCTATTCCACGACCTAATCTGGAGGTTGTGGGGCTGGGGGGGGGAGAAGCAGGCTTGCTTCTCCCACCCCCAGCCTCCAGATCAGGTCGGGGAATAGCGGGATGGCGGAGCGCCGCCATCCCGCTATTTCCCGACCTGATCTGGAGGTTGTGGGGCTGGGGGGGAGAAGCAGGCTTGCTTCTCCAGCCCCCAGCCTCCAGTTCAGGTCGGGGAATAGCGGGATGGCGGAGCGCCGCCATCCCGCTATTCCACGACCTGATCTGGAGGTTGTGGGGCTGGGGGGGGGGAGAAGCAGGCTTGCTTCTCCCACCCCCAGCCTCCAGATCAGGTCGGGGAATA